GGCCCAAAATTACCAAAGTTCAGCTCTAAAGGTTTGGCCCACACCTGCTTGTGACCATATTACAAAAATTCAATGAAAACTCGTGAAATAAGTTGAATAAGTAATGAACTCCTGAAGATTTTGAAATTAAGTGCATAAAGTGAACCAGGAATGCTTCTGCAAGATTGTCAAGGACTGAAACTATGAAAGTGGTTGTAGGATAAAACTGACATAGACTGTGATGGGATAAATCTTCCTCAAAGTTAGACTGTAAGCACCACAAAGTACTTTCTTCAAGGTACACAACATTGCAACAATAACTGTGTGAGCTATGCCAGCAGTTAGACATTATTAGTTATGTAGAAATTCCTTCCGAGGATACTAATAGTATGTACACTGTAAATCTTAGTTCTCAGTTCAAAAAACTCTTATATATTGGCAGAATGCTGAATTTGCTGAGAAATCTCTCTGAAAATCCAAATACAAGGTACACCAAAAATCATCATCAAAAATAACGCTCTGGGAAAAATGTCTTCTGTGGAATGGAAGATGAAGCCAAAGACAATGTGTTCACAATAAGAAAATTTTAATTACATTTTAGTTTGTTTAAAAACAAACAAAAGGATGAGTTCTTTCCCATAAAGGACTTGTATTTAAAAAAAAAAAAAAAAAGTTGCATTTTACTGTAACTTTTAAAAGTTTTTACCTGAACCTTCTTACTTAATTTGATTCTACTTAAAAGCATTGTGTTCTTAATTAGATGATGGCTAGGAGATAGGCATTTACTAGATCAGATTTAATCTACTGATGGTGAGCCTCAAATAACAAGATGGGTTCAGCAACTTTGCTGAACCAAGGGAGAACTGATCCCATTCAGAAATCCATTATTTTTCCTGAAAGATACATTACAAGGACTGTGCTGAGCTTTTTGGTCAAAAATTTACAAGCCTGCAAATCTATATATTAAAAACTGGTTTTTCTATTATCAATCCCTCCATAATTTTTTGCAAATAGGTGTTCATGCAAAGCCCCCTTTTTTTTTTTTTTTTTTCACTGTTTCCTGAATAAAGATATATATTCAGAAATTATTAGTGCTTGCCTCCATTCTGACTGAGAGGTCACTTCTATTTCGAAAACCACTTTTACTCATTTTTCGTTTCAAGTACTATTCAAGAATGCACCCTTAAAGTACTCACTAATTTAATCCCCTATTTCTGACTTTAGTGCGAATATTATAAATGCTGAAAAGATCAGTGACTTATTGGTTCATTTTGTGACACCACAAACCTGAATTTGAAAAAGGACATACTTTGAGGTAACTAATCTTTACAGGAATTGAACCTGTTCAAAGCTGATGCAGAGATGAAGAGCCAGCACTGTATTTTAAATTAGGTTTTAATAAATGCACGTCCTACATTTCCTCTTGTCCTCACCACCACCCTTCTCACCAGAAAGGGATGTGGCAGGTTCAGAGAGCACTTAAACTGAATGCCAGACATGCTTACACTTTCTACCTTTGTTTGAAGTACAGGCCAAAAGTCTTTCAATCTCATACCTGTTATTTGCATCTGACGGAAGGCTTACAGCTCAGGATTAAAGGGAGGGCAGGAACAGAAGATGTTACAGTGAGGGTCTGCTACAAGCCCCATGACATGGAAGACCGAGCGGATGAGGTCCTCGACAGACAGACAGGAGCAGCCTCACGTTCACAAGCCCTGCTCCTCATGGGGGACTTCAACCATCCCAGTATCTGTTGGAGGGACGACAGTGCAATGCGTAAGCAGTCCGGGAGGTTCCTGGAGTGCACTGTCAATGACTTCCTTCTCCAAACGACGGAGCAGTCAGTGAGGAGAGGTGCTGTGCTGGACCTCGCTCTCACCAACAAGGAGGGGCTGGTGGGGAGTGTGAAGCTCAAGGGCAGCCCTGGCTGCAGTGACCATGAAATGGGGGAGTTCAAGATCCTTAGGGCAGCGAGGAGGGCGCACAGCAAGCTCGCTACCCCGGACTGCAGGAGAGCAGCCTTTGGCCTCCTCAGGGATCTGCTTGGCAGAGTAGCATGGGATAAAGTCCTGGAGAGAAGAGGGGCCCAAGAAAGCTGGTTGGTATTCAAGGACCACCTCCTCCAAGCTCGGGAGCGATGCATCCCAACAAAGAGGAAGTCAGGCAAGAATGCCAGGAGGGCTGCATGGATGAACAAGCTGCTCCTGGACCAACTGAAGCACAAAAAAGAAGCCTGGAGATGGTGGAAGCAAGGGCACCTAACATAGGAGGAATACAGAAACTGTCAGAACAGCCAGGGAAGGCCAAAGCCCTGAGAGAATTAAATCTGGCCAGGGGAGTCAAGGGCAGCAAAACAAGCTTCCATAGGTGCAGCAGTGATAAAAGGAAGACGAGGGAAATGTGGGCCCTCTCCAGAGGGAAAAGGGAGACTTGGTCACCAAGGCCATGGAGAGGGCTGAGGCACTCAATGACTTTTTTGCCTCAGTCTTCACCTGCAAGGGCTCCAGCCACACCGCCCAAGATGCAGAAGGCAAAGGCAGGGACTGGGAGAATGAAGAACTGCCTGCTGCAGGAGAAGAGCAGGTTCGAGAGCATCTAAGGAACCTGAGGGCGCACAAGTCCACAGGATCTGATAAGGGGCATCCGCGATCCTGAGGGAACCAGCAGATGAAGTGGCTAAGCCACTATCCATCCTATCTGAGAAACTGTGGCAGCACAGTGAAGTTCCTGCGGACTGGGAAAGGGGACACATAACCCCCGTGTTTAAAAAGGGGAGAAAAGAAGACGCAGAGAACTACAGGCCAGTCAGTCTCACCTCTGTGCCCAGCAAGATCATGGAGCGGATCCTCCTGGAAACCATTCTAGGGCACACAGAGAATAAGGAGGTGAGTGGTGGCAGCCAACACGGCTTCACTGAGGGCAAATCGGGCCTGACAAACTTGGGATTCTCCCCCTCTGCTCTGCTCTCGTGAGACCCCACCTGCAGTGCTGGGTCCAGCTCTGGGGGTCCCAGCATAAGGACGACATGGATATGCTCAAGCAGGTCCAGAGGAGGGACACAAAGATGCTGGGGGGGCTGGAGCAGCTCCGTGATGAGGCCGGGCTGAGAGAGTTGGGGGAGCTCCGGGGAGACCTTATAGCGGCCTCCCAGGGCTTAAAGGGGGGACAGGAGAGGTGGGGAGGGACTCTGGGTCAGGGGGTGTGGGGATAGGGCAAGAGGCAATGGTTTAAAACTGAAAGAGAGTAGATTTAGATTAGATATAAGGAAGAAGCTCTTCACTGTGAGGGTGGTGAGGCACTGGCCCGGGGTGCCCAGAGAAGCTGTCATTAGGATATAAGATCTCAATTTCTGAGGCTAATATCTGCAGAGCCCTACCCTAGAGATACGTTGAGTGACAAGTGAGGCTCAGGGTATACAGACAAGTCCCACACTGTCAAAGGAAGATGGGATGGAACATATTTAAAGGATGAGTCTGCAATTCATTTTAGAAACAACAACATAAATCAACCTACAAAAATTGACGTGGTCTCATTGCCTTCTCTATGGACAGTATCTATCTCCAAAAGACTTTTTTTCATTATTTTCCTGATTGTTTTAATGAGTGAAAAGACACTATGTATTTTATGTTCAGTTGTAAAATGGGACCTTGTATTTAAATGATGAACAAACTTCAAAAGGATATTTTTCTACTGGTGAGCATTTTCTTTTTTATGTAAAGACATGTTGCCTTATTAATGCTTTCTGAATTAACTCCTTTAAAAATCTGAAATTTCTGACCACATATTCTTTTCCTTAGCCATTGACAAGTTGTTACCCCTACCTTTACTTGATAGGTTTAAAGTAATGATCAAACATATTAAGAAATGCTATCTTTCTTCTCATCAAAAATATCCACTGTAAAGCCCCATGCTTTTTACTGCCTTCGCTAAAAATTGCAAGCCAGGGAAGCGTGATTAGCAGCCATACACAAAATCTGTATGTGTATGTAATTACTACTGAAGGCACAACATATAGAAGGCTTTCAAGTATATGTAAAGTGAGCAAACAAACAAACAACTTCATTGGTGTAATCAGTGTAACTCCCAACTCCATGAGCTATTAATAAAAATACCCCATTTCTGTTTATAAAATATATGCTATTTTTCCTTGAAATGTAAATTTCAAGTTAACAGTAACATTTTAATCAGATGTATTGACTAAGACCAGGAATCATCATAAAAAATAGCCTTTATACTTGGTGCATCTGGAAAAGCAGGTAGCATCCTTAGAGGAACTAAAGAGGTCAACCAGGGGACAGAGTTAAGTAGCTTTCAACCTCAGTTATTTTCTTCTGTATACGCATGGGTCTCTGATTCTATGAAAATGAGTACATCAGTTCTGTTTATTACTCACAGATTTCTTAAAAAGCATAAGAAAAAATACATGAAATAAAGTACCACTGAGAATGAACTGACAGTAATTTAATCAGTTTACAAAGTGACTAGAAAAATGGTGTTGTCTTCTACATGGCATATCAGAAAGTTATCTCACACTTAGCATTGACATAATTTCTTATAAAAATCATTAGGTTTGTATGCAACCTATGTATCTTATTCATCATTTTCTCACTAGTCTCTTCAAATTAGAAATACCATGAGAAATAGATATATTAAGTCTGTCAGGGATATCATGGATTAACTTTGAAAGATAAAATAATATTTTCAGAAAAAAGGTTGCTAAAGCTATAGAAATAAAAATGTGGTTATTTTTAAATGCAAAAAAAAAAAAACAAATAATTCATATTAAAATTTAATTTTTTTTCAGGCCTAATTCATGCTAGGGGCAACTTCCTCAAATATGGTCTGTCTTCCCAGGGCTTATTTCAAGTTTAAGTTCTACTTAAATCAAAAACTTTGTATCCTGTTCCCCATGAAGCAAAGAAAATTTAATGTTATGATTGTTGGTTTCTAACAGAATTATATAAGCAGCGTTATAGATGTAAAACACCTCAACTAAAGGCTGCTTTCTTCTTTAGCAGATACAAGGAACGATTTTTCCCGCTCCAAATTTCAACCCTATTATGGATGCCCAGTTGCTGGGAGGAGCCCTACAGGGAATTAGTGAGTATCTTATAGTAATGAATGCTTTCCTTGAGAATGTAAGAAAAAGAAAACAGAATTCTGTGTTACGTCACTAGAGCAAAGGCCAAAAAAGGAAAGGTTTTTAGTTTTAATTTCAACAATTAACTATTACCAGGGACCGTTAAGTCTTCTAATCAGTCATCAAGAAATAAAAATAAATGGAATAAAAAGTTTAAAGAATTTATTATCTTTCACTCAGTAGCAATTTTTGCTTTCACTCTATGCACCAAAAAATTTTTGTTCACCTAACCATTTTTGTGTTTTCCTGTTGAACATTGTTGGTATTATTGAGGGTCAGAATATTGGGTTTTTTTGGTTTTTTTTTTTAAGTATCTGAAACATTTTCCTCACACTAAAATTGTTTTCTGTATCAGAATTTTTATACCCCTTGGGCTTTTCACAAAATTGCACAGCAACAGATCTTGCATTCTGTGTTCAGCTTCTTTAATGGAAATGTGAGGACTCAGACTTAATGTCAAATGAACCACAATGAGTATTATTGATCAAGGGGAATCTGAAGTATCTTTTTGATTAAGTTGGATACAGATGAAAAATTTTAAACATTTTGCTAACTTCAAACAGTACTTTTAACACAATTTTGCTAACATGACAATGCAGAGATGATTCTCTTAATTTAATACTGTAAATACAAGTGCATTAACCTCACTTTTATTTTACCTATCAAAGTACATGGAAGAGAGTTCTAATTTCAAGGACAACTGTCAAAAGAAAAAGTTCAGCTTCAGAGAAGTTTAAGTCTCCATAGCCCTTACAGGCATTGACACCCTGACCCCGAATCTTGCTCACAACATTCATTCCTGCGAGAAGATTCAGTCACATATGTTGCCCCACTGATAACAATGGCATTACACAAGTGAATGAAGTTAATTACATTTTGAAATATTTTCTGAATCCCTCTTAGTTTTTACTGTAGAGACTATGTAAACTGTACAGATTCCTAGTGATAATTATTTTTCTGAAAAGTAAAAAGAAATCCTTATGCACTGAGTTTCAGTAATACTTCTATTTTGTGAGTTTGATGGAAATTAATCACTGATGCTTAATCAGTGTATTGCTAAAAATCTGCTGTAATTGCGGCTAGATGATCCAGAAGAAAAGGAAATAAACCTGGTGTATAATGAGCAAATACAGACTTCCTCTGTCAACTTTAAAAAAATAATATATTCAATGTCCAATTACATTTGTGTCAAAATGGAACCTGTCAGTTATAGAATATCTGACAAAATCTGCCTAACAGAGCTTTAATAGGTACAGAACATATATCTGTAACATATATATGTGTATATATATGTCTATATAACAATGACTGGCAGAAACTTGAGAGACTACCCTACTCCATTCAGATGCTAGCTGATCCCCACGGTTTCCAGCCTAATTCATCTCTGCTGCAACTGTGATGAAGTCAATTGATTCACACTTGGACATACATTTATGCTAGAATGTCACTAAAGTGCTCAGCCATCAGAAATTGCCAAGAGCCAACTTCTGGGATGGAAAAAGAATTTTAAAATTATAAAATAATTTTCAGAATATGTTAAACAATATCTTCTTTTTCATAAGCATTAAATACCGATTCATTGCAGAAGCTTAGCAGTATGCTCTAGCCAACAAGCAAAAGATCATGGGTAACCTTCAACAAAATGCCCTTGGAAATTGGTTAAAATATTATATTTTTAAAAACTTCGTAACTTAGTTTATATAGTTGCCCTGAAAATATATATCTTTCAGTTTTTCAACAAACAGTCTCACCTTAATTTGTCATCCCATAAAAGAGATCCCTAATCCTGAAATGACAATTTAATCAATATCAACAGGGTGTACAAGTATAACTTCCCAGGCTCAGCCGCAAATTCTGCTAGTGCGCTTAGTTCTGAATAGATGAGAGCCTCTATCTGTTTTATTGATGCTTTCAAACCCATCGAGCTTGAGAGAGATGGTGATGCATCTGATAATAGCAGACTACTTCAATTTTTGCTGGTATTACACCAGCAAGTGAAAGGCACATAAGCACAGTATAACCGATGTTGGTAAGTACCAGTGGGATCTTAATCTGTTGATCTGTTTTTTTCAATAAATTAGGTTAATGTCCTTGAACAAAACATGAACAATCACAAATGTAAGTGAATAACAACACTTGGTTAATTTAGAGTCTGTGTCGTGTTTCCTTTACAGGTTGTGAAAAAGATGTGGTGATTGATATCCTCACACAGCGCTGCAATTCACAGCGGCTTATGATCGCTGAGGCGTACAGAGACATGTACGGCAGGGTACGACAGAGCCATTTTGTACTTTCATTATTCCGTCTCTCCTGTCTCCAGGGCGGATGGTCAGCCCTTCTCTCAGGTCAGTCACTGGAACCAGAAGCCTGGCAGACAGCTGGCTGGCACCAACAGATTGGCACACAACCTCCTTCATGTAACTATCGATACCTCTGATGGTTTCAAATTGTTATTTATATAGCAGTAGAAGTACACCTGCCACACACAAAGTTTTTAAAAAAGGGACATGGAAAGTTTCTTCCTCTTAGTTCATTCTCCTCCTCTGTTGACCAAACCAGAATTTCTGGACAGACTTATTTCTTCCTCTATTGGATTTTGGGAGTTTCTGCATTACTTTTTTCAAGTTTTTGGAATACATAATAAAATAGCATTGTATTTGTGTTGAAACACCAAAGAAAAACACCATACCACCAATTACAGGTAGTTCTCTCTTATGTACTGATTAGTGTTTTCATCTCAGACCACATACCATGTAATCCCATCCCTACACTACACACAATACTCATCTGAGCTGCTTAATGGTAAATTTATGGATCTTTGAAAGGTGTTTCAAAAATTTTAAGACATAAAAAGCTGGGTTTTTTTCAAATGCATTTTATCCATATTTACTGTATAAAACAAGGTCATTTTTGTTATACGAATCCTTAAGCGTACACAAAGATATCCTCATTCTATTTCCAGATCTACTATTGCTAACCAATGACTTTGGGAAAGTTGCAATGCCTGCATTTTCCTCAGTTACCCCAGCTACATATAGGTGAAAATAATAGCAACAACTTTTGTAAAATCACTGTGAAATCTAGTGATGAAAAGTGCTATATGAAACTAGATACCATTGGAAAGCTAAAGAAAAATGCTGAGATTAAATCGACCAGATGTGCTCTTCCCCTAATAGAAGCCAGGTAAACCTTTTAAACAAAATCCAGTCTTCTTCTTTCTCCTGAAGCCTGAAAAACTAGCAGCTCACTGGAAAACGCCTTGAAGGTCAGTGTATGCTTGCCATTGAATTCATCGGCATGAATGAGGACAGTGAATTTGCAGAAATCCTACCACACAGCCATCAGCCTTGATTAGAGTTAACCAGAAATAGCTCATTCAAAAACTCCACATTAACTGCTGATGCGGTAGTCTGTTACACCACCAGTCTGCTAACCAGTAGGACAGTGTATTTTCTTCTTTGGCTATCTGAGCAGTTTTCCAGAGACAGCCTTTGTGCCACCTGTGTACCAAAATACCTCACAACCGCTGACCTCTAAATATGCTGAAACACCCCCTTACTATCCTAGAATTGGGGGAAAGAGAAGAGCTGGATTTAATCAGTGTAGTGGGTTGATTATGTGTTGTTACTGAGCTATAGGACATCACTGGCTTTATTTGGTCTGTCATCAAAAATCAAACGCATGATATTTGTGGTATTTTACATTCAGCCTTGAATGGATGAGTATGTTTTAAAAAGACCGTAAAATAACTGAATCACAGGTACCCTTACCTTCCAAAGACTGTGGCAATGGTTGAAATCAGTGGGTCTGAATCATTGAAAGTGTTTTGCTATTATGAGGTATTTATTAGGTTACCATTACACATGCAAACCACACAAATTCAGTGTTTATCCATGCAACATTCCTCACTGAGTTTATTTTACTTACGGAAAACTAAAGTATGTCAAGTTACCCAAAGGTGCCTGTGATAGTAAAACACCCAAGTCCATTCTTTTCAAGGCTTCATTTATCTCCTTAATCACTGGACAGTGCTCCTTCTCTACTCCATCCATAGGAGCTGGATGGGGTTTTTTAAGGTTTTCTCTTGATTGTTTCAACTGGACCTATCATTTTAACAAATGAAAATATTTAAAAGCTCTAGATAATTTTTTATCTTTAATTTCTGCCCTCTGATACATGAAGATGTCCTAGAGATAACACTAATGATATCGCAATAAAGAATTACCAAATGTCCTTCAGGAATGGAGCTATGATTTGCCTTATTTAGTACTCATATCGAAGAATTATTGACTTGCTCACTACTGACCTATTTGGATTTTCTTTTCCAATCCAAAATGAAAATATAAACAAATAAATAAATCCCTAAGGAAATACCCCATCATTAAATTTATACCCGTGACAGCAATATTCAGTCAACATGAAGTGCTATAAAGCCAGTTGCTACAGACCTAAAGATCTAAAAGAACTAAAAAAGCCAAAGAGATCTCAGATGTCTTTTTTAAGAATTTCAATCTCTGAAACTGTGAATAATAATAGAAGGGAAAGGCAAGGAAACTATTTTTATATTCCATCGATGGGCTACAAAAATTCTGAAACACATGGAACATCTTGCATATACACCCACAATTTTAATTTAAATGAATCCATTAAGCACTGGGTATACTTTATAGTGCAAGATATATCAAGATACTCTTGACAGCTCTCAAAAAAAAGCCACCTAGCTCTACTTTTTGACATGTGGAAACAGTGGTCTGTACAGATTACTCTAATCTAGTTCACAGATGAAACAGGAATGCTGGTTGTTTTTTGTCTCACCTGTGGCAGCAGATATACTGAAATGGCTAATCTGGTTAGTGCTCCATGCAGTTTATTTGACTGATTCCTCAAAAGTTTGCTATCTTGGGCAAGAACTGCCAAACAGGATGGGATGCATCTTGCCCTGAATTGCTGCAGTTTACACTTCAGAAGATACTTTAGCACACATCAGTGATAGCATTTCACTCCCCATAATCTGTATTAATGGATATACTGGACTGGGCAAATGTGCCATTCGGCAGTCCCATTTTAGGAGTGGTAAACTCTGCAGGACAGAGAAGACAGACAGCTAGGCAATAACAATTTTAGCCTTCCCGGTCTAATCTATGGCAAACCTGTCAGTCCAATCCTCCACCCTCTTAATTTCAATACAGCCTGTTCAATACAGTAGCCACTATGCCCATTCATTTGACAAATGTAAAGTGTGACACATTGGGAGAAATAAATAAAAAAAGAAAAGAAAACCCTGAACTGGCTGCATGATTCAGACATACAGACAAGCTTTAAGATTCCTCCTGACAGTTAGCCTTCAAGGATTCCTTACAGCAGAGATGATTAGGAAATATTAATAATGACAACTTAGAGTTGACCTTTCTTATTTTTCAGGACTTTGCTTCCCTTAGTTCTGATTGCAGGAGTAATTTTTAACTAGTATCCATTTGTATTATTAATCCATTTTCCCATAGGCATGTTGTCAGAAGTGAAATGTTTTAATGAATTAATTTCTGTTCCATGTGTGATTTAGTGGTTGTCAAATGAATCTAATGTTCATTCACTGAAGACTGCATGTGTTTGTTCATCATAAATTTAATTTTTAATGTGCATATGTCCTCCTTCATTTCTACCCTAGCTACTAATTTAATTATATTCAGACATGTACCAAACCCAAAGTACAGGCCTGAAAAAATGCAGCTCTGAAAACATAATAGTTTATATCATAGGAACAATTTCTGGTACTCCTTTAAATTCAGACTTAGGTCAGAACATATCTGACAGCTGCCTAGTGTTTTACACAAAACATTAAAAAAAAATGAGTGCACAAGTATCCTCTTAATCAGACACAGCAGCAGTATAACAAGCTTTTGGCATTTGCAATGTTTTGAAGGATGCTACCGGGAAAGGGGAGAGTGGGGAGGAAACTCATCCATTACTCAGCTACCTGGCAAGCAAGTACTGAGACACATGCAGGGGAAGAGGGGGGTCCTTTTCATTCAGCCAGGATCTGTCAAAAGTAGTGAATTCAGTTTGAATGTAATAGATACATAAATTGAAGCACATAACTTTCCAGTAGATATTGTTATGTATTAGGAGCAATATGGATGATGTTTAAATTTATTCACATAGTGAGTAACACTGAAAAAAAAAACAAGAAATCGCCTGTGTTCTATGGGATTTCACTTCCAAGGGTACTTAGATCCCACAGATTCACACAGGCAGTATGCCAAGGGAAGCTGCAGATGCTCTGACATAGTAGTCAGGTTTCCAAGCCTTTAAGTGGTAGTTGCTCTTAAAGCCCATAATTTTCTTCTGTATTCTAATGAACCAAAAATCAACAATCCTGTGTGGTCTACTGGCTTGTGTGTCTATTTCCATCTCACCCATACTATTAGAAGCAGCAGGTACTACTTAAAAGAATATTTTTCTTACTTAACTTTAGCTAGAATTCTTCAACAGTTCATCTTTATTCATTTACAGAGAAAACCACTAATACTTTTTTTAAACTGTCTTCAGAAAGTATGATGACTGAAATAATCCTGTCTATGCATTTTCTTTTTCTTTTCAAGGATCTGATTACAGACCTAAAAGAGAATCTCTCTCATCACTTCAAAGAAGTCATGGTTGGCTTGATGTATCCACCTGCCTCCTATGATGCCCACGAGCTATGGCATGCCTTGAAGGTACTTGTCAAACTCAGAACTGCTTAGTCACAGTCACTAAATACACTACTGAAATATATTGAATTGATTTTTTTGACATTTAAACGGTTGATAAACTGCTGGAAGTTAGTACACTGGAATAGTCTGCTATGTAGTAGTGAAGAGGGTCCCAATAATAATAATACGGAGAGTGGCCCGAGTAACGACAGTCACCCCGATGCGGCTACATGTCGTCCCCCTCTATTGCCCGAATCGCTGGGTTATATCCCTTGCACAGCAAGCACCCGCTGTCCACACACCCCATACCCCTGGATTATTGGTCGTAAGCAACTTATCACACGCCCAAAGGGCAACTGTGATAGGCAAGCATCTTGCGGTTTGCTGCCTACTTGTGCTTAGCGCAGCCAGATACATAGCTGGGAAAATTCCTCATTAACAGATACAGTTCCTCACAACGCAGCCCTTCAAGGTCATCCTCATAACACAGGGGCTGTTAGCAGCCTGATCTCAGGCCTGGATTGTCCAAACCGTGCAACAAAATATCATGGCCATTCTCTGTCAGAAATTCTACTACATAGTAGTACACTAGGTCATCAGAAATACAGTGTTATATGGAGTTTATTCATTGGTATACTAAAGCCAGCATAAATAATACCGTTGTCATGTAACAAATACAACCCATTTAACACACGTGGTAAATTCGGTAAATGAATATTTATACAGGGAAATATAAGGCCCTGATCATGCAAGCATTTATGTATGTCATGAACAAAATTCATTTGAATAGCCAGTGTCATGCACTATGCCTCCACCTCTGAAAAGACCAATACTTTAGCAGAACGTGCCTTTATATAAGCATTTACAAAGTAGTCTGTGACAAAGCAATGATCACTCCACTCAAACTGAACCGATTGCACATTTTGAAGAAAATATTTCCTTTTCTTCCCAGGATCTGAATCTGTGCTCCTTAAACAACTGAAGCTTTGAAATAAACAAAAATATTTTTTCAAAGATTATGCAATTAAATGGCAAATTTCATTCCCACAGGGCACTGTGTAAAACAAAGGTACAAATTGGTTCATAAAGGACTTCACTAAATTCTTAGAAAACAGGTCCACTGTTGGCTATTGAAAATAACAATCCTTAGGAAATTCCTTCTCGGGAACTTCCTAAATTGACAATTCCTGAAAGATGGGAAGGCATATCAGAGCTCAACACTCTTTTCTTTTTCTTTCTATGAATATTTGCTGCTGTCTACTGTCACAAATAAGACACAGACTATACGACTCTAAACCAGGTGATCTATCTTACAAATTCTGAGAATCCCCTCTTTAAAAAAATAAAATAATTAACACTTTTTTATTTTCAGACATTGAAACAAATGCACTTTTTAGAACTAACGATATAATTTTAATTACAGTTGGCATTAAAAGGATTGTGAAATATCATTGGTAGCACTGGAAGCATGACTTCTATTAAAATTACTGACAAGATTGCCAAAGTAATATTTTTTTTCTAAATGTGGGTCAAAGTTAAACTTACTTATAATATTCTACCTTGATCTGGATTCATATGGCCAACGTAAAAAACAAGGCATATGCATCTCCAGACTCAGGCTCAATGTCACATTCTCCCATTATCCCAAAGGCAGAATACTCACCAATACTATATATGTGCAAATCAAAACCAGCATATGCATCATATCTTTTGTCAATTCAAGTATATAAAATTAATTGAATTCCTGTGGGAAAACACAGTGATTTGCAGCACTGCATGCATGGCCATGATGGTCCCCCTAAATATCAAGTTCTACAGCAGACAATACAGACCATAACATTCCTAAATAAATTTAAAAAAAAAAAAATTAAAAAAAAAAAAAAAAATGAGATAGAAGCACAACATAATAGTTGTGCTCATATCTGCTTCAGATTGCTTGAAAATTTCCTGGGAATGTATGATCAGTGCATCTAATTTCTTTCAGCAAAACGTAAATTCTTACCAAAGTTCTAAAACTCTTCCAGTTATGTTTCTGTCAACACTGGTCTCACTTCATTCCCCACTTGTTAATGTACATGCTGAAATTCAGATTAATCAAATCATAGAGTGGCTTGGATTGGAAGGGACCTTAAAGATCACCTAGTTCCCACCCCCCTGCCCCGGGCAGGGCCCCCTTCCCCCAGCCCAGGGGGCTCCCAGCCCCGTCCAACCTGGCCTTGAACCCTTCCAGGGAGGGGGCACCCACAGCTGCTCTGGGCACCCTGGGCCAGCGCCTCACCCCCCGCACAGGGAAGAGCTTCTTCCTTATATCTGATCTAAATCTACTCTCTTTCAGTTTAAAATGGTTACCACTTGCCCTATCTCCACCCCCCCGACCCAGAGTCCCTCCCCACCTCTCCTGTCCCCCCTTTAAGCCCTGGGAGGCCGCTATAAGGTCTCCCCGGAGCCTTCTCTTCTCCAGGCTGAACAACCCCAACTCTCTCAGCCTGGCCTCATCAGGGAGGTGCTCCAGCCCTCTAATAATTTTGCGATCTCCTCTGGACTCGCTCTAACAGGTCTACGTCATTTTTATACTGGGAGCCCCAGAGCTGGACACAGCACTGCAGGTGGGGTCTCATGAGAGCAGAGTAGAGGGGGAGAATCCCCCCCCTCAATCTGCTGGCCACTCTGCTCTTGATGCAGCCCAGGGTACAGTTGACGTTCTGGTCTGCGAGTGCACATTGCTGGCTCATAGTCAGTTTTCCATCTACTAACATCCCCAAGTCTTCCACAGGGCTGCTCTCAACCCACTCCTCGCCCAGCCTGTGTTTGTGCTTGGGATTACCCCGACCCATGGGCAGGACCTTGCACTTGGCCTTGTTGAACTCCATGAGGTTCACATGGGCCCCCCTCTCCAGCCTGCCCAGGCTCCTCTGGATGCCAGCCCTGCCCTCCAGCGTGTCAAATGCACCACATAGCTTGGTGTTGTCAGAAAACTTGCTGAGGGTGCACTCGATCCCACTGTCCATGTCGCCAACAACAACACAGGTCTCAACATTGACCCCTGAGGGACGCCACTCATCACTGCTCTCCATCTGGACATCGACCCGTTGACTGCAACTCTTTGAGTGCAACCATCCAGCCAACTCCTCATCCACCGAGTGGTCCACACATCAAACCCATGTCTCTCCAATCTAGAGACAAGGATGTCATGCAGGACAGTGTCAGATGCTTTGCACAAGTCCAGGTAGATGACATCAGTTGGTCTTCCCTTATCCACAATGGCTGTAACTCTGCCATAGAAGGCCTCCAAATTTGCCCAATTTGCCCTCAGTGAAGCCGTGTTGGCTGCCACCACTCACCTCCTTATTCTCTGTGTGCCCTAGAATGGTTTCCAGGAGGATCCGCTCCATGATCTTGCTGGGCACAGAGGTGAGACTGACTGGCCTGTAGTTCTCTGCGTCTTCTTTTCTCCCCTTTTTAAACACGGGGGTTATGTGTCCCCTTTCCCAGTCCGCAGGAACTTCACTGTGCTGCCACAGTTTCTCAGATAGGATGGATAGTGGCTTAGCCACTTCATCTGCTGGTTCCCTCAGGATCGCGGATGCCCCTTATCAGATCCTGTGGACTTGTGCGCCCTCAGGTTCCTTAGATGCTCTCGAACCTGCTCTTCTCCTGCAGCAGGCAGTTCTTCATTCTCCCAGTCCCTGCCTTTGCCTTCTGCATCTTGGGCGGTGTGGCTGGAGCCCTTGCAGGTGAAGACTGAGGCAAAAAAGTCATTGAGTGCCTCAGCCCTCTCCATGGCCTTGGTGACCAAGTCTCCCTTTTCCCTCTGGAGAGGGCCCACATTTCCCTCGTCTTCCTTTTATCACTGCTGCACCTATGGAAGCTTGTTTTGCTGCCCTTGACTCCCCTGGCCAGATTTAATTCTCTCAGGGCTTTGGCCTTCCCTGGCTGTTCTGACAGTTTCTGTATTCCTCCTATGTTAGGTGCCCTTGCTTCCACCATCTCCAGGCTTCTTTTTTGTGCTTCAGTTGGTCCAGGAGCAGCTTGTTCATCCATGCAGCCCTCCTGGCATTCTTGCCTGACTTCCTCTTTGTTGGGATGCATCGCTCCCGAGCTTGGAGGAGGTGGTCCTTGAATACCAACCAGCTTTCTTGGGCCCCTCTTCTCTCCAGGACTTTATCCCATGCTACTCTGCCAAGCAGATCCCTGAGGAGGCCAAAGGCTGCTCTCCTGCAGTCCGGGGTAGCGAGCTTGCTGTGCGCCCTCCTCGCTGCCCTAAGGATCTTGAACTCCCCCATTTCATGGTCGCTGCAGCCAGGGCTGCTCTTGAGCTTCACGCTCCCCACCAGCCCCTCCTTGTTGGTGAGAGCGAGGTCCAGCACAGCACCTCTCCTCACTGACTGCTCCGTCGTTTGGAGAAGGAAGTCATTGACAGTGCACTCCAGGAACCTCCCGGACTGCTTACGCATTGCACTGTCGTCCCTCCAACAGATACTGGGATGGTTGAAGTCCCCCATGAGGAGCAGGGCTTGTGAACGTGAGGCTGCTCCTGTCTGTCTGTCGAGGACCTCATCCGCTCGGTCTTCCATGTCATGGGGCTTGTAGCAGACCCTCACTGTAACATCTTCTGTTCCTGCCCTCCCTTTAATCCTGAGCCATAAACTCTCAGTCAGGTCCTCATCCGTCCCCAGACAGGGCTCTATGCATACTCCTGTATACTATGTATATTCCTAAGTAGGAATATATTCAAAATACAGGATTCTACTAATCATTTTAAGTCATCTTCTACTTAAACAGATGCAAAAGTACACTGCATTTCTCCAGCAGAGACTGATTTTCTTTTGTTAATTCTGATAAGTGCAGCATTGCTTTCTTCCAAAAGCTGTGGTTTCTACTAACATGTTTTCATATTTACTTCTTTCTACACAGGGAGTAGACACAGAAGAAAACTGTCTAATTGACATATTAGCCTCAAGATCAAATATGGAGATCTTCCAGATGAAAGAAGCCTACTTAATGCGTAATGTTTTTTACAAATGCACAGCAACGGTTGTACTATTTGTGCTCTGGATGTATTAGCACACATGAAAGAACTGAAGTACAAAGTTGACTTCACTTTACTAACTGGTTCCCTTCTCCCTCCTGTCCCGTAACTACATACGAAAGATTGAAGCAAAATGTTTAACGTTGAAAATACATAGTATTTTTGAGATTTATTGCTGCGTATGACATTTGAAATACCTGGAAGCCACATTCGGGGATTTTTAGAAACTTTTGCACACTTTATTCAAAAAAGTACATAAGCTGTTTTCCTTCAAAGAGTGCTTACTCAGGCTGGACACTCTTCTCACCTATCTTGATGGGGCACTTCCAAGTATCCCGCTGCCACACAGCAGCAGCAGTGGTGGGGCTGCGCCCATGGGTGGGTGGACAGGCAGGCGGGGGCAGTGGCCAAGGCCCCCCGGCCGGGCAGAGCCCCCCGGCAGGGCCCAGACAGAGCCGCCAGCTCCAGGGATAGGTTCCTGTCGAACCCGCACAGGTTACTGTGGAATAATCACCATGGAAAATGGACAAGTGTTTCCATCCTACTCTATTATCCTTTGTTTGGTAATCTTCATCAGTACTATTCAGAGCATGTTCATTTGTGATTTAGATTATATGTTTTTGGTTTAACCTAGAATATAATAATGATCTTCAACAAGATATCGATTCTGAGACTTCAGGTCACTTCAGAGATACGCTCATGAACCTTGCTCAGGTAATGTAAAAACATGTAGTATGACTTAACTTTTCTAAAAAGTTCCTAACTTTTGATACTATTCCAGAAGTCTTAAATTTTAAGGTGTCTGTGGTTGAAGCTAGTTCAATAGAGCTAACCTTTGAACAGGAGAGAGGGGAAAGAAGAAGAGGAAGAGAACTTTAATTCCTTCATCTAATTTTACTTTGGCTTTTAGATGGAGGCAAAGGTCAACAGACTATTTTATTGAGTAAATCCCTGGATACCCAACTACTGACTCTGCTCAATCTGTCTCATCTCAAAAGGAGTCTGCTTGCATGTACATATGAGATTTTTATTTTTAAAGCTCTAGTTTCACCATTGTTAGAATATATGGTTCATAATCCAGTCTGGGCATGATGTAAAAATTGAGATAAATCCACACTGACTATGAAAAAAAGTATTAAATTATCTGTTTTAAACATTATGTTCTTTATGCTACTTCATATGCTAAATCATGGTATGTTTGCACACAGGCAAATGAATTGTCATTAGCACACATCAACTTCTAGTTTTACCAATTTGTAGTTTTATGCAACGAAGTTGGTCATCCTTCTCAGATCATGAGTTTCCATTCTATTTGTAGTCACTCTGCTCATTATCTTTAAAATCATTTGTAAACCAGAGTAACATATAATAACAAAGGGACTGCCAGGAGATAACAGCATATAAGGTATAACTATTTTTATATATGTGTGTCTGGGGAAAAAGTTCTTACTAAGATTTGAAATAGCTGCAGGCTTCACTGAGATACAGAGATAAAGAGCAGATATTTCAAATGTAGAAACTGTAAACAGAAAATATTTTCTTCTGATGTTGGATGTTTTTTCTCCAGAACAATGAAAATTCTTCCTTGCTTAAAAATGAAAAGCTACAGGTTAAGTAACCTCCCTTCTCATCTTTATTAAACCATGGGACACATTTTACTCATCAAAGAACAAATTTAAAATAAATTATCTGACACTACATTGTTAATCCTTATTTTCTTAAACCACAGATATTGGTAAAGAGGCATGAAATCAGCAACTTCTTAGCTAACAAGATGTAACCAGTATTTTTCTCAAGATAAAGACAAGTTGCAGGAAATTCCAACTCTATTCAGTTATACTGTATACTTCTGAAGACTGTTAGTTGAATCATCCATGTTTGGATATGATCTTATATTAAAACACAGTGATATTTCATTAAAATATATCCTATCTAGCTCTAGTACAATGCAATTTAGAGAAGACTATTCTATAGCAATGTTTCCAATGCATACTTTAATGCTTTTTTCAGACAGCCTTTGCTTTGTTTTTTATTAAATCTTGGGATTGATGACATACACGTCTGACTGCAGACAGAAGTAAATGTGCTTCACATATGGAGATCAAAGTATTCAGTTGCTACAGTGTGGTATTTATGGTTTTCATGTCCATACTGAGGCAGATTAGAAGTTATAGGTTATAGCCTTTCCTAAGTATGTTAACACATTTACAAATTCGGGCTAACTGATATTCTAGTATGAGATAAATAGATTTTTATTTTAAATCTCTTTTGGGGTGTATTAATTGAAAAATGATCATTTTCTACAATTTAAAAAATAATTACAAATATTGTGGGTTTCTCCAGCAAAACTATGCCAAGAGTAGTTATTGTTAAATGTTACGGGGAAAAGTGGGCATTTGACTCATGTAGAGTATTATTTAACTTATTTTATTGTTTGCTTGTCTGTCTTTTCCCTGTGTCTTCTCGTGTATGTAACTTTATGCAGTCATTTCAGCCTAATTTTCTTCAAGTAATTTATCTTATTCTAAGGAATTCCAATGTGTGAAATTCTTATAATTTAATTAAAATATAAATGAACATTTTTAACATGAAAGACTTACAAATCAGTCATTGTACAAGTTGACGGTCAATACATAATTTTAATCCTCCCTTTCACATGCAGGGTAAAATGACTGTAAATTTTAAACTGAAGTAAATTGCTTCAAACACATATCATTAAGGCAGTGATTACATGCAGCTTGAGACTGTTAAGAGTTCTCCAACCAAGGCTGATTTGTGTCCTTACAAGATGATTGCGGTCAAAAAAGAAATACCAAAATTTGTGTGCTCTTCTCTTTTCCTAACAACTACATAATTCAAATCATAGTGTGTTTACTAAAGCATAGCAACTGGATTTGTGTAACTCAAAAGTTATTAAATGTATGGGAAGATTAGAAGTAGTTTTCTGTGGCTTATGTACCAAAGTTGTCAAACAATTTCCTACTCTTGGATCTTAATTTTAGACCGTGATTGTGGGCAAGCAAAATCTCCGTTATTTGATGTACTCTCTCCTATGGTTTGTGCAGGGAGGAAAAAAAAAAAAAAAACAAACAGAAAAGATTCTGCTGGTAATATGCATATTGATAAGAAATAATCAACGAATGGCAAATGTTACTCTTAACCTTGTTTTCCCCTCATAGTTATAAAATATAGTAAGCAATATAACATCCATAATACTGGAAATGGTGGTGGCAAAAGCTTATTTAAAATGGGACTAAAAATGGGATGTTTATCCACTTCTCCCATTTTTTTCCTCTCACAAGACTGTTTATCATTCCAGAGTTTCTTTTCTTAGAGGAAATGAAGACATAACATGACAACTTGAAGATGTTTTCTATAGTTGCAAATTCAACCACTGAATACACTGATCCAATCTAAAAGCCCATATGTGTTATCTCAAGAAATGAAACATAGATTCATATAGAGACAATTTTATATTCCTACAGTCTTTTAGGATTTAACTTTTAAAGAAAATGTATCTTCTTTTTTTCCACAGGGAACAAGGATGGAAGGATATGCAGATCCTTCTACAGCTGCTCAGGATGCAATGGTAAATATAGTCAGAAGTGAGCTTCTCAAACACAAAAAAAAAAAAAAAAAAAAAAAAAAAAGAACAAATACAAATGTTGGAAAGCGATTTAGGACTTACTTAAAAACTTTTGCATTTTTTTTTCCTTTTTCTGGTTTATTAGATTCTGTGGGAAGCATGTCAGCAGAAAACAGGCGAACACAAAAACATGCTGCAAATGATTCTGTGCAACAAGAGTTACCAGCAGTTGTGGATGGGTAATCCAGCAGTTCAGCTGTTTGTTGAGTGGAAAGGAAAAATCTGACTTGCTAATAAATCAATGGTTTACATACCAAGAAACTCAGTGTGCAGCAGGGTATTAGCCTGAAACCTAAGTGTGAACTGTTGGAGTTCTCAGATTCCCACTGATGTTACTGGGATTTTGGAAGTAATGCAAACCTGAATTTTGCCTGATGACTACAGATAGTTGTAGATAGAACAGGCAGACATCAGGATGCCTAATAAGAGAGAAAAATGTGTGACCAAAGAAAGGCCTATACTACGGCTGCATTGAGTTTACACATGACACAGAAGGATGAGGCAGATGTTTCTTGACTATTTTCTTCATTTGTCCTAAGTAACTCTTTGCTATGAATGGAAACACCTTGGGAGAGGCAATTGGAGTATTTTCAACAAACATCTGTATGTGAAAACACATTGCTGCATTGAAGCTTTTCCCTGGAAGTTTCATAGAAGTCTTCGACAGGAGCACTTCAGGGTCCACATCCACTCTCATAATGAACATACACACAGAAGCATAATAGGACATTTTTATTTAAAATAGCTAATCAGGCATAATTACAGATTGCAAGAAACTGATGTGAGATCATCCAGATCTTCCCCTGTAGAAAATAAACTTGTTGTATGTCTGGTGACAAGTTTGAGGCGTCTTTTGCTCTGCAGTGGAAAAGATATATTTGGTGACAAGTTATCACTGTGCAGCCAGCTGTATTTCTTATGCCAACTTCTAACAGTAGCTTAGAACTACTTTGCTGTCATGGATCAACAAACTAATTCTTCTGTCATGACCTCTGTAAGGCCAGTGATGAAATTATTAATATAATGCAACACACCTGCTTATGCTCTACTCTCTCTGTAACAGAGATTTGAGGGCTCTGCCTGTAATGTACTCCTCCGTAAGTCTTGTAGCAAGCAGCAAGTTGAAACTTTTTCTCCTTCTCTGAAGGAGTAAGCACACCGTGTATACATTTGTGTGTGTAAGTCTGGATACCTGCATTACCCACAGAGTGTCCCTCTCTGGATACTGACATGTTACACGTCATGCCACAGCTTCTTTTCGCGATCTGTCAGTCTGGCCAGTTTTAGCCAAGCTGAGCAAGGAAGTTGTCTTAATGACATGACATTCTTACAAGTTTCATGAACAGAGGTTGCTAGTTAGAGAAGTTATTAAAACTACCAGTGAAACAGAGGCCTTGGCATGCATTCATTTTATACTATATACTGGAAAACCCAAAGAGAGAATGTACTGCAAGTCAGGTTTCAGGCTACTCATTTAGATTGCCTTATCTGGGGGATATAAACATAAGGAAACACTAAGAATAAATAGGGGAAAAAATAACTCACTAGTCATAGTACTGGGGGGAAACAAGGAAAAAAAAAAAAAAAAAAAAAAGGCAAGTTGATCATTATCAACAAACTAGAATAAAGCAAGATTTTTTTTTTCCCCCAAGTTTTCCAGGAGTTCCAAAATATTTCTGGCCAAGACATAGTGGATGCCATTAATGACTGTTACGATGGATACTTTCAAGAATTACTGGTTGCAATAGGTAATGTAAAAATATTATTTTATACTAGCAGTAATCTCTCAATAAATATCTAGTATGGTATCTCTGATGCATCAATAATATTATTTTTATCCACTTTACTCTCCTATATTGTATAATTAAATTTCCAGAGATAATTAGACAAGAGTATCTGAACTACTTTTCCACGTCTGTGTAAATCTAAAAATGTATATATGCAGCACTAGATTCTGACTGAGCAGAACTAGTATCTGTTCTTCATTTGATAACATATTTTGTGTGATCAGTGATAACCACATTACCAACTGATTCTACACATTTAAAATAATTTGCAAAGTTTTCAGGATTTCAGTGGTATATAAACAAGTCCCAAGCTTTATGTGCCCTTTTTTCATAGAATAAGGGTAATTGTATTTCTACAAAGATGTCACGTGTTTTCACTGATATTTAATAAGCCCTTTGATGCAACAGCAATGAGTACTCAGCCAAAATAAGAACCAGACTTTTTAAATTATAGAGTTACGCTTGTGAAAAGCAGTAGTTTAATTTTAAGCTGTCATGAACAGCACTAGCCAGCTTTATATTTCAAGAAGCCCAAAGACAAAAGAAATTATTTTATAATAATCTTATGTTTACCTGTTTAAATTCTTCTCTCTTAGTTCTCTGTGTTCGTGACAAGCCTTCCTACTTTGCTTATAGGCTTTATAGTGCAATCCATGTAAGTATTCTTTCTTCTTCACATATAAAAAGAAGCTTTCCTATTTTTTTTTGCTTGATTAGTCTTATCAGTCTGTTCAATCTTTAAGGTGTGATTGCATGTTTTAAAAATGTTGGTACCTACATACATTTCAAAGCAGTAGTGCCTAAGAAACAGTTAGGATTTAACAGTAAATGGTTAAACATTTAGATTCCTAAAAAAATTATGTCTGGTATCTCTGTCAATTTTTACTTTTTTTAATTGAAAACCTTTCTTTTCTATGGATTTTATCTCCCCCTGCTGTGCAGAACTCAACGTGCACTTCTCTTACTATACAATTTTTGCCTCTAGAGATTTAATAAGTATCACTAAAAATTAAATTGTAAATTAATGTTACATAAAACCAAATGGTCATATTGTCTTGTATATATGCAGGTTCTTTTATCTTTGTGTGTAAGTGCTAACGTACTAAAACAAATGAGTGCCAAGAATAAATGTGGGTGAATGCAAAGAAACACGTACAAGTTCTTCCTATTAGAGGTCGCTGAGGACATTTTCTTTTGTTCTTCATTCATTAGTGAAAATAATGAGGCATTATGTTATATAAAAAAAAAAAAAGTATAATTTTTTAAACCTAATCTTTTAAGTGTAATCTTCAGAAGATGGTCAGAGGGGCCAGCCACGGGTAAAATGTGAAGTATCATTTTAGAGCAAGAATGGCAAAGATAGGATTCAAGCCAGAACCATCAAACAAAACTTTTCAGTGACACTTCAACAGTGCCCCAGTATCCTCTTCCAGATGCTGCTGCTCCTGCTGTCCCCTGTTTCAGTTAAACCAGCAACAGTGGCAGCAAAGAACCAAGCAAAAGCTCAGGCACTGAGAGGAAGAGGCCGGATTTTGTCTGAGTGGCCAAAAGAGGATTCTGGCACATGACATGAAAAACGTTTGCCAAAAGTATCAGAAAATACCAGCTATGAGGAAAAGTCATGTTTCTCAAAGGTCATGTATCAAGACCACTTTTCAAGTTAAAATCTCACTTTTAAGAAATATCACATAGATAGTTTTCTTCTATATTGTATTCAGATGATGCATGTGATGCAGGAAAAAGTTTTTAGTGATTAAGAATATACATTTACATTTTGTTTTAATTAATATTTTATTCTGTTTTCTCAAAGAGTTTTAAGGAACAAAGATAATTCTCAGAACAAAAGCAAGAATTTAATATAGTGTCTGTTTTTGCAGCCAAGTTATGTCCAGAATATACCAAAAGCTTGTTATATGCCCATTTATAATACAATATAATAAAACCCACCCAGGATTCTAATGCCATAGCCCATAATGGTTTATATATATATAAGAAAAAAAAAAAAAAAAACTAGCCATGAAAAAGGTATCAAATTCTGTACATGCAGCATTTTAACATATTGCATTACCTGATTTTTGGACAATAAGATTTCAATATTAATGGCTAGTGACAAAACTGCGCTTTAGTTTTAAACAATCTAAGTTGGTCATTAGTCGCCCCACCACTAAATCTGTTTTGATTACTTTTACTGCCACTAGATGTCCCCATTCTCCACACAATTACAGTATGAATATTTATTTCGAAACCACTAAAATAAAACACAGCTGAATACAAGCTATGCAAATTCTAAAGCAGTGGTTTAAAATCTCACCGAATTCACATTCGGCAGCACTTGTGAAATAGATTATTGGCTTCGCTATAGTCTGAATGGACTCCATAACGACGGCCCCAGAGCTACCTACAAAATGAATACCTAAGACTACGGACAAATGTTCATCAGGTTTTTCTTTCTAAAAGTTTCAGTGCATGGTTAAAACACTGACAGGTGGGGAATATCTGTTATTCAGTAACATGAATTCTATTATTTCAGCATGTGAAAACTCTGTAGGATAAAACCTTTGAATGCTTAGACTCCTTTAAAATCTGGGTTATCTTTACAAGGGAGCCTAATTAATTGCTTATCTATAAGATACGAGCATATACAGATAGACAAACACATATTGTCCAACTGTCAAGTTTTCTCTCATCTTCCTTTCTTTTTAGAACTTCGGGTTTCACAATAAAACAGTTATAAGGATTCTCATTGCCAGGAGTGAGATTGACTTGATGAATATACGACGGCGATACAAAGAGAGATATGGGAAATCACTCTTTCATGACATTAAAGTAAGTTTTTACACATTTTTGCATATATACAGCACTGGAGCCACACATACTATGCCAAACCCTACCAGAAAAAATGCAGAGGGCTAAACTCTATTCAATCCCTTGGTTGTTGTTTTTTTTTTTTTTTTTAAAAAAAAAAAAAAAAACAAAACCAAAACAAAACAAAAAAAAAACACACACAAAAAAAAAAAAACACCAATGCATAAAAATAGTCTAGTTTTTCAGTGCCTCAGGCTGACTTCAGTGAGCAGCAAATTTTCAACTTGCTCTCATTCTGTGTGATTTTGTCCCTCCCCAATAGCAAAAGGGGGACATATAAAAAGGGCAGAACAGTGTATGCTGAGGAACAGGTTGCATAAAGAGCTTCTACACTAATTGGTACATCATCTTTCACACTGTCCTGCAAGGTTAGGCTGAAACCACTTTCATGTAAAACTGAGATAAGAATCTGGTTTTATCCTTGCGTTTAGGTAGTATCAACCTTCAAAAAAACTATTCCTCTTGTGCCTTTGCTCTGTATCTTAAAACAAAATTCTGACACTGTTTAATTGTACAAACATTATTCTTGTTAGGACACTACCTTTTTTTGTGTTGATATAATGCAAGTGTAAGATATGCAGTAACTGTAAGAAATTGCTCATGATTTTGGTATTGAATTTGAGAAGTATTAAACAGGTTTGGTCCACCCTTTCAAAGGTAGACTGTTTCTAGGTGCTCAAGCAACCAAATCCCAAGATATGTGAAATGAAAAAAATCTTAGCCTCAAATCCTTATGAAAACACTGTAATATTTTACAAAACCTTACAACATCAATCTAGTCCTTGTCACACACCAAGAGATGAAAAATTAAGAAAATGTACAGTCACAGAAATGTTGATTTTTTTTTTTTCCCTTGCAGCATTTTGCTTCAGGACATTATGAGAGTGCTTTACTTGCTATCTGTGCTGGTGATGCTGAAGATTATTAAGGAAGAAAATTAACTTTGAAGGCTGCATAAATCCATTTTAAATAGAAATTGAAGCTATATGTAATACACTAAGACATCCCTGTTCAACATAAAAGAGCAGAAAAATCAGTGCTATACATTTGCTAATACTGAATTTTTCTTCAGACAGGAAAAAATGTTGGCAGGGACATGGTTTTATTGCTAGTTCTAATTAGTATTTCTGTTTATATGATTAATGTAAATTAATGATGCAAGTAGTAAAATAACTCCATGTAAACATATGTTTATCATTTAGTCTCGCAGCATCCTGAACATCAGACAATAGGCTCTGGAAGAACCTATTCACTTCCATAATGGGGAGAAAAACTGTTTTGCTTTTTTTACTTTTAGCAGCACAATTTCTTCAAGTAATTTTTTAATCTTCTTTCCCACTTCTTATACCTCATATTTTATGCTCCTGAACATTATTGTTTTAGTTGCTATCAAATAAGCATCTGCTCCACTCTATTATCAGTCACTCACCAAAGAGTGCTTTTTTATTCTCTTTCATTTAGCCCACATACTTAATGGCATTTCCCTTTTTCCATATGAAACAAAAGAAAAAATTAGGATTACTTATCCCAAGCCATTCTTGATTTAGAGCCATGCACTGGAAACCCCTGAAGATGAAGCTTTGAGCAGAGAATTTCCAAAGGATTAAACGCTGAAATTCCATTTGCGCCTCTCACATTTTAATCATTAATGGAATAATGACTTTCAGATCATTGTGATATTTCCAGGATGCCCCAGATGGTTTAATTCAGGAGTTGACTAGTCGTAGGTAACACTGTACCTCCAAGTGAGGCCAAAGGATGCAGCACTCCTCAGAATACCAGCAAACACAGCCTGACAACATCTGGTGGCAACAGCTCATACTGCAGCCGAGGAAAGGCGGCAGAGCCAAGTCCCAAATCCTCATCCCGCAGGAAAACACGAACCTGCTTTTAAATATCCCGAGTCGATTCAGTGCAGCCTAGCGATGAGCCTTACCCGTCTGCGTATTAGTATCACCTGTCAGTCTCTTGTGTAAACAGACATAAGGAAGGGAAAATGCGGTAACAGTCATTAAAATAACTGCCCTTTGCTCTTCTCCTGCAACTACAACGCTTGCAACACGACAGAGGCAACTGGTATTTTTTCTGAAATAGTTACTTTCTGCAAGTATAGCTCAGTATGACTGAACAAGGCACTACTATAAACCCATACAAATACATGGTTGCTTTTATGCTGTTTGCACCTGTCCCTTCCCTCAGTGAAAAGAGTGCTATTTTCAGTGTGGTTTGCTTTTTTGCAAGTCCCAACTTTATGTCACAAATCTATCGATTCACAATAAACTTAAAACTTCGGTTGAGTCCCTCTTGAGTTTGACACATTTCGAAGCGTTTCAGGCAGATAATGTGATTACCAAGCCAGAACTTTGGAAGGAGTGGTTCTGGGAGGAAAAAAATAAACTTAAGAACAAAAATGAGAACGAGGTGAGCATTATCTCACTTTGTCAGCATTAACAAAACCCTAAACTTCAGTTACAGTACGATTTTGCGACTGAAGTTAGAGGTACCCAGTAACAGCCGTACCTCAGCACGGTGGAGTTTAAGGGTGTCTGCTTGCAGGCAGGAACAAGGACGCCTCCCTCAGCCGCAAACGCCTCGTTCCCGCCGTGCTTCCCACAGAACGAGGTCCCGAGGCCGCCTCGCAACAGGCAGAGGCAGAACTCCCTGGGGAGCCTGACACAAAATGGCGGCGGCGGCGGCGGCGCTAGGGCCCGGCTGGCTGGCCGGAGCGCAGCCGCCCGCAGGCGGGGCAAGGGGGCGTGTCCCAGCACCCTCCGCCCCGCCCCCATGGCACCGCCGGGCCACCGGTCACGCACAGGCAGCTCCGCGCCCCGCCCGTCAGGTCTGCCTTGACTGGAGAGCGGCGACGTCAATCTTACGCCTTCCCCAATCGCCAACGCGTCTCTCCTTTCCCCGCCTTCCCCCCCCCCCCCCGCCCGTGTTGCTGAGGGGTTCTCCTCCGCGGGAAGCTGGAGGTCGGAGCTGCTGGTGGTGAGGGGGCCTCGCCGCGGTTCGCAGCCTCTCGGCAGCGGGACGAGCCGGGGGTGCTCAGCCGGCTCAGCTGCGAGCCGCTCCGGGGGCAGCAGGAGCGGCGGCCTCGGCCGCCCGCCCGCTCGCTTGTCGCCGATGGAGGCCAGCCTGACGTGCGCCGTGTGCCTGTCCCTCTTCGAGGAGCCGGTGACGCTGCCCCTCTGCTCGCACAACTTCTGCCGGGACTGCGTGCTGGAGTGCCTGGCCTCGGCCGAGGCCGCCCGCCTGCAGCAGCAGCGGGGCCAGGGGCAGGCCCGCCTCTCCCGGGGGGGGCCGGGGCCCGGCGGCGGCGGCGGCGCGGGCGGCGCCCGGGTGTCGTGCCCGCTGTGCAGGAAGCTGTGCCCGCTGCCCCGCGGCGGGGCCGCCTCGCTGCCCGTCAACACCACCCTGGCCGAGGTGGTTAAGCTCTACCGGTCGGGCACGGCCAAGGCGGGGGAGGCAGAGCCGGGGCCGGGCCTGCTCTCCCCGCTGCCGCTCGGGGGAACCTGCCAGAAGCACCCGAGCCGGCTGGTGCAGCTCTACTGCCGGATGTGCCGCCAGGCGGGGTGCGGGCAGTGCGTCTCGGAGGAGCACCAAGGCATCTTCCACTCCGTCAACCTCATAGACACGGTGTACCAGGAGGAAAAAGTAAGCGCGGCGCTTCCTCGCGGGGCCGGGAGGGAGGTCGGGCCGTCCCTCCCGCCGCGCCCGGCTTGCTTGGACTGGGAAGCGTGGTGGGGAGGCGAGAGGCGGCGGGGGGAGCCTGCTGCTTTGAAGCAGGGGGCAGTTGTTGTTTGCGTGCCTTCCCCCGCTGCCCTCGGGCTTCGGCCGCCACGTACAGGGGACCGGGCGGTATTACAGCATCAACAGATCTGAACCCAGCTTACCAAAGCACCTGAAGAGTTGTCGGTTTGGTTTAGGGTTTGTTTGTTTCTTTTAATTGAGAGACTTGCAGTATTTGGTAAAACCTACAGATGCTAAGAGTTTATTGCATGTCTGGATCCAGATTTTCCAAGTTCAGGAAGATGCTAGTCCTACTAACAACAAAAAAAAATTCATACATACCCCCCCAAAAAACAAAACAAAACACCACCCACAGGTATTTTGTTTATAGTCTCTCTGAGCTGGCATAGGTAATTTGGGTCAGAGATAGTTGCATATTTAGAAATAGATGGTTTAGATAAGTAACAATTCATTAAATGTAAAACCAAAGTGCATTTCTCTTTGCATGAGGAAAGCCACTGCCTGGCCTAATGGTTTGTTAGCTAGTTGTAGTGGTAGTAGTTGTGATTTTTTGCAAAATAGCTACTGTTTGGGTAAAATGAGCTTTTCGTCCCAATGCAAATTGGGTGCAGGCTGGCACATCAAACAGCAGTTCTGCTGTGGTAACTGAAGCAACTGCAGGGCAGTTATGAAGAGTAAAGGTATAGAATTTTTAAGTACAGCGCTGACTTCTACAGATGAAAGTTGCTTTTTCACTGATCACCCTGCTGCCTCTCCCATCACCAATGTTATAGGGAGATTAAGGCCAATCACATCCAAATATGGACTAATGAATCTTTATTAAGGTAAGAGAGCAAATGCAGTGCTGGGGTGGCCGAGGAGTCGCAGCTCCGTCCAGGCTCACCAAATTGTTTAAGTTTGAAACCCCCTTTTATCCACACAGCTGCCGGTTTCAACACCTTTGGCATGCCTCCTGTCTTCTACAATCTTCTTCTTTCTTCAGTCCTGTGGTCAGGTACACCTTGTCCTTCAAGTCTGGGCCAATTTGCAGCTCCTTTGTCTTTTATGGCTCAGTGGTTTCAGTTCCTCTCTTATCTCAAGGACAAGGGATACCAGGGATGGCCCATTCTGTTCTTTCATTCCATTGCAAAGGAGTTACCACCCTTTGATATGGACCATCTGGTGAGCATCCCAAGTGGGGGGGCTGTTGGGTTGGTGTTTCCTCAGATCAATTCCCCCCTTTTCTTTTCCCAGTAGTAAAGTCTTTTACTTTTCTTAAAATTTGGATCATTGTACTAATAATAGCTTTAGCCTAAGAAGTAATTGTTTAATTACTTTTAGCGAAAGCAAAATTCTTCTATTACTTATCACAACCAATTGTGTGTCACTCAGGAAACTGAGGAAAAACGGTCTTTGCACTAGACTTTCTAGGTAAATCTTACATGATACTTTAGTGAAGGAGGGAAATCAGTCATAATCCTAGTTTAAAACCAAACAGAAATATGTACAGCTTTCTGTTTTATCAGTAAGGCATTAAAAAAAAAAAATCAGAGTTGCTTGTCAAACTGGAATAACAGCATTAAAACTTAATTGTGATAGATGTGTGTGTGAGGGGAGAGGTTAACAAGGTTGAGGTAAACAATGTTTTAATTATAAGGTAACACTATAGCCATTCTAGCAATACGCTATATAGGTGAGTCTAAAAACATTACTTTGAGAGAGAGGAATAGCAACAAATAGAAACCATAAAATGTTAAGTGATATTTTGAATCACAACCTTTGTTTAATGTTACACAGAACAGCTCCTGATGTGATTCTAGGCAACCACTGGAATGTATTTATTTTATGGAGTGGATAAAGTTGTAATAAGTGTTTCAATTGTCTTGCAGTTAACTTTCTTCAGCAGTCTGAAAAAAATGAGAATAATAAATGAGAAGCTGATGAATGAAATCTCAAGTCAACCGAAAGATATGGATGTGAGTTACAGACGCTGGATTATTTGTTTATATATGTATACCTGCGTGTGCATGTGTTTTTGTTTCTTTTCTCATGGTAGGTTAATCACAACATGGAGCATACTGGTGCTGCTTGTGACACAGATGTGCGCTGAGTTTAGGGAAGTGACTCCATGTAGACATTGCTGCTTCATCTATCTCTTTTCATGTTCTTGTGCTTCTAGATGGTGCTGAACACTGATGCAGAAATAATTGCACGGGAATTTGGAGAAATTGTCAAAACTCTGGAAATGAAGAAACAGCAATTGCTAGAAGATGTTGAAAATCAAAGAAGTAAAAAAGAGAAGGAGTTTCAGATTTGGAAGAAAATGAAGGAAACTCACAAGAAGACCATTGAGAATTTTTTGAAGGATTGTGAAAAGCTTGTCCATGAGTGTGATCCTCAGCGTTTCCTGGAGGTGATGGCCTTTTTGTTATTATTTGATACCAGTTGTATAATGAACCTTAAATGTCATATAGAGCCAGCTGTATTATAGATTATGGTAACGACTGGATCAGGAAAAACAAATTCAACAAACAAAAAGCTCAGACTAAAATTATTTAATAGTGCTTTTCACTTTAGAAAAGTTTGAAAAGCTTTCTTTGTAGTTTATCACCGATATTTAGTGAATTCAGTAGACACTTGTTTTCTTCACTGAAAACTAATGGAATTAACTGTATAGCTGTTGCTGTAACAGTTATGTTATGCTACCAGCTGTGAAACTAAGCTGCCTTGGTGTTGGTTAGGGAGTTACTTAGTAGTACTGCCTTCAAAATTCTCACGTGTCTTTGGTTTTGTTTTGTTTTTTTAAACACTTTGTGTATTAAGCACTTTTAAAACACATTGCATTTTTTAAGACATGAAAAATGCTTTTCTGGGTTAAGATTGGAGCCAGAACCACTAACTTGTTTGTGCTGCACAGTAGAGTCCTGTGTTGAGGTACCTGAGCTAAGGCGACTATGCTGATTTTAAAACCTGATGTAAACTTTGCACCGAGGTGTGCAATGGAGATAAATCAGCCTATTCAAACCTAGTTTAGGTACTTCTGACGTACACTGTGCTAGGTATTATATACGTGGCTGTATACAAGACCCTGAAAGTCTTCCTCGTCATGTTTAAGGGAACTGCGGAGAAAAACAGTTTCTGATTTAAACACTAGAGGAACCCACATCACAACCTTAATCTTCACTGTTACCTAAACTGAGCTTCTTGTTTCATTTATGTCAAATGCTGTGGCTGCAGTTATACAGAGTTTAAGCAGATGGTAGATTTTGGCCAAAGTACTTAAATAACTACTGAATTTTTTGTTTTCTTTAACTTCAAGGCTTATGCTGTCGTAAGAAACCACAGCATATTGCTGTTTTCTGCAATGGGGTCTTTTTGCTGCCTTCAGATAAATAAGAAGCTAAGGAAGTACTTTAAGTTTGACTAAGTTTCTGGTAACAACTCATTAAGGAAAATTTTACTTTACCCGAAGTAGAAGTGACTTCTACTTTCAGAAGAAATATTCTGACTCCAGTGATTAGTATGCTTTAAACTTAGCACCTTCCTACCTGTGCTCCATAACAATACACAACTCATCTCATTGAGGTGGGGTTTTGATGGTGTTTTAAGATTCAGTACCATGAGATCACCAGGTGTTTTTATAGGGAAGCAGCTGGTCTACATTCATTTATTTACTTTTCATTACCCATTTCTTAGGAAGTGTCACTTGACTACAGTGCAGTGCACTTCATACTGCCATTATCTGACTGATTTAAAACTAAAAGACAGCTTTTCTTAATCTTGGTCCAGTAGCATGGTGACAGGAGGTAGCAGAGGCTTCCCTTACCAAGAAATACAAAATACTCTTTCATTTGAATGTGTACAAATATCTGAAATGGATTAGGGAACCATGATGTGGGTCATCAGTCATGATTTGAATGCCTTCATCTGGTTCTGAAGGAGTTTTTAACACAAAATATTACAAGATAAATAATTGTCCCAGGCATCATTTTTTTCTTTTTTTTTTTTTTTTTTTTGCATTTATATGCTCATCTCTTTTTTGAATGTTAACAGGTTTATTTCCTATAGTTCTGTGCAATGAAGACAGGGAGTTCCATCTCTGCAATATTTTGATAAAGCAATAATCTCCTTTTGAGAGTTGGAGGAAAAATTACTCATATCTTACAAATTCTTCTTTTATTTATAGGTGGCCTGTGGCTTGAATACAAGGTATATATATATTTTTTTTCATGCTTTATTAGTTCTCTAGTGTAAATTTAAGATTAAAACCTCAGCAAATATACTTTCAGCTTTTTTGGATGCTTTGTATTCTGAATTTTAGGACGTGTCAAGAATTTGTGATGTACTATCTGGAATTAGAGATAATCTTTTGAATTGGCTCCCTGAGTATAGGAATACATTAATACATGGTGACTGGATATTTTCAGATACTTAAATTGAGGAACAGAGGCATGCCTGGAGCTTTTACAGAAATTAAGTCTAAGAGCATGTGTGGAGATTTTGCAGTCTCTTAATTTTTGCATTTGCAGTGTGCAATACCTTGTATATTTCTTTCTAAAGATTCTTAATTACATTTCTTAACACTCTTATGCAGAGTTTAAGAATACTGGAAATGGAGTTATTTAAAATATGATGTGATTCAGACTAAAATTAGCAATGCCCTCTGAAGAAAGTGTATAATGTAGGTTCAGGTATAGTACACTAAGAAAAGTGGAGCATTTTTAAATCTTTTTTTGATGAAACAGGCACTACTTGCGATTTGCATTTTGTGTGAAGCCTAATTCAAGTGAATCCTTGAGGAGTTTTAAGCAAAAAAATCTAGGAAAAGATATTTTATCGAAGACTTACTTTTTCAGATTTCTTTCTCCCTCTTAGTGATTTCTTTTACAAAAAAAATTTTTTTGTATTAGGCAGGTGTAATTTAGTTGTTGGTATGTGAGCCTTAAAGTGTTTAAGTTTGCTTGGGTTATTTTTTTTGTTTGTTTTGGGTTTTTTGTTTTTGTTTTGTTTTTTTTGTTTGTTTTTCCAGAATGAAAACTCAGCTTGACCTGATGAATATAGCATCCAGCTATGAAAAACCACTGGACTATACTCAAAAGAAGTTGGATATCAAACCTGTCGTTAATGAAATCTTGGCTTTGAAGTTAATGCCTGTTACTGTAGGCATTGTTAAAGGTAGGGAAGAAGGACTTAATAGAGGACAAGATTCACAAATTCATGCTAGGAATGTGCAACTTGTGGAACTGATTGCTAATAACCTGCATGGCAAAAGTATGCAACTGTTCAGAAAACATCTGAGCAAATTAATGGATGATAAATTCATCAAGGGCTTTTAAATGCATTTTATGAACTTCCTTTCTCTAGGAAGCCGCTGTGCTGTATTTTTGGAATCTGGGTGAAGTGTCATTATGATTTTCCTATACAACCACTATTGCCACTGTCAGAAGTGCATTGCTGAATTAGGTGGGCATTTGCTGTAGTGTAATAGGAACATTCACTATGCTCTGATTAAATGCTTTTACCTCATAGGAGAAAACGCTAGGTTTTGTATTAGGGCAAACATGTTCAGGCATTTAGAAACTTCCTATGCAGGCCTCTTGCTTTATTTGGCAGAAGTTTCAACCGGTGCTAGGGTCTCACTTAGGGCAATATACTTTTGTTCTTAATTGGAATCTGTCTTTAGATGCACAGGAACCTTTCAGTATTTCCCATGCCTAATATGCTCTCCATCAGTATTCTTGTATTCTTTCTAATAGATCTACCATCTGGAGGAAATGAGAGCTCAACAAAAAATACTCTGTTTAAAAATAACATAAAGGAATGGCAGGACCAGAAGAATATACCCAACACTTTTCTTGTAAGTTCTTGACTATGCAGCTACCACACTCTACTATTTCGTTTATTTTGTCTTCTCAAAATGAACTATAATGTCTGCTACAAAACATTTTTTCAGCCTGTAGCAGGACAGGAGGAAGCACTAGCAGATGGCAGCAGGATCTCTACTCGTTTAATGTCAATATCAGAAATGTCAGCATTCCAAAACATGAGTCATGAGGTATGATTGAACCCCTGTTGTAAGTATGGCTAAGTTACTATTTGTTATGACACAACTTCCTAAATAAGCCTTTATAATCTTTTCAGTTTTCTTAGTAGAAAGTTACCCTTCCAATTCTAGAATGTGAATCTGGCTAGGCTATTAAAGCTGTCAGGATTTTATTCTTCTTTTTCTTTTTTTCTCCAGAAAGCTGGAACTTAATCTTACTACAGACTTCAAATACTTATTTTTAGATTATAGTGTGGCTTTTTGAGTCACGCTGTAGCTTTCTAATCCAAATAAGCTTCTCTGTTGCCTATTTGAGGAGAAAGTCATCTGCCTGTGTTCTGTTTTCTGAAGATAATAGAATTTGCTCTTCTCAGACTACCTAAATTCCTGATAATTTGACATGAAGCTGAATCCAATCTCTCTTGTTTCATTTCATATGACCTACTTATACAACTAGATTTTTTTTCACTTACTAGCAGTCCCGTGTGGGTGGCTGAGTGAGTATTGTTCTGTACAGAATGACTCTAGTTACAGTTAGTGAAGTATGGCTGGCAGGGAGTCACATAGTGTATGTTCAGAGAATACCAATTGCTTACGTCCTTTAAATATAGAATTATTTTTCCGTTGCTGTATTATTTTGGAGAACATCTGTTTTCTGTTCCCATTGAGAATACAATTTATATAGTTACTGTATTTAGTAAAAAAAAAAAACGAAAAAAAACAAAAAAACACAGAACACCCCACCACCTAAATTTGTTTCAGATGATTTTTTTTTTCCATGATAATTTTGAGAATTTGTCACTTAATGTCTAAACTCCTATTTTTAGCTATTTCTGGTTTTGTCAGTGACTTTAAATACAATTTCTTAGTCTCCTACTTCAAAACCTACTTTGTCAGGGTTCCATGTGTATCTCGTTCAGTTGTTTTTGAAGAACTTTTTTCCAGAATTACTTGTGTTCTGTTGCCTTCTAGCAGCAATGGAATAATACATCATGAATGCTGTAGAGTATACAAAAACTTTTCTTCAGTCTTAGGATTGTATGTGAGTTCTGTAACCTCTGAATCCACAAATGCCATTTTGCTTAACAGGATTCTTTGCTGTAATTGTAGGAGTTACGTTACAAATACTATATGGAACGTCAGAAGCTCACTGATGAGTCCAAGACGCACACTTTACCTGCAAATAAAAAGTATAAGTTTGTAACTGCTGAGGCTTTGAAGGATAGGTCCTCAGGGACTCCTTTTGTATCTTCACCTACCAAAGCAAATAACACAGATAAAGTAAAAATGGGAACCCTGCAAAGAGCAGATGGCTTTGAGAGAAGCTTTTCTGGAACCAGTAATCACAGCATCCCATCCACAAGTACAAACTTTTCTGAAACGAATGGTGACTTAAAATTACTTCACGAGAGAGGTTCCCAGGAAGTAACCACTCCAGCCTTATCAGAAAACATTAAAGACTTAGTTATTAAAGAAAAATTGCCAATGCAGGCATCGGCAGTTATTGTTTCCAGTGAAATGGACACAAATTCTAGTGCTCCATCCACCTTAAAACCAGCAGCAGCAGTAGCTGTTCCTTCTTCAAATTCAGAATTTCTAGATGTTTCTGCAGAGAGACTTTCTGCTTCACCTTTTGCTTTTAGTGCGTGTAACAACTCATTACCCAGATTTATTAAAGATACAACTACATTTTCCTTTAAAAAGAAAGACAGGAAATATGTTTTCCCTCAGTTTTATCTAGGAAAATGTGATCGTGTGGATAAAACTGATAACCAGGATGAAAGCAAATTTAGAAAACATGGTCCTGTAATCAAAACCACCGTTGGTGATGCTTCAGCCAGTCCTAAAGTAGATTCATCAGAAAGTGAGAAGCCAGACTTTTCATTTCCCTTTGGCAATTCAGAAAGAGATTGTTTTGCAGGATTGGGAGTCAGCAATTCCTTTAAGGTTTTACCATTATCCTCATTTTTTAGCCAATCTGAGAAGCCATCTGACAAAAATACATCATCTCCCATGAGAGAAAAAACACTTTCTGCGAAGGAAGCTGCAGAATATGGTACACAGGAACCCTCTGTCCCACGGGAGCAAAAAGCTAATGCCACAGAATCCATCACAACCATAGCTTGCGGTATTTCAGAAACCAGCGCTGCAGCTGGGGTGAATGATGTCTCAGAGTCCCCCCTTCTCCTCAGTAACTGTGTATTTTCCTTCAAAAATAACCCTCTTCAGTTGCCTTCACCAGTATTTTCATTTGGAAGTACTGTCAGAAATCCCTCCGATTCGCTGACTTCCTCTGTGTTTTTGTCTGGAAATGGTACTGAAAAAACAGAAAAAGAGAAGATGAAATCTGTGGATGAAACACCCCTAAATCTAGGGAAGCCTGTATCTTCAGAGCGTGTGGAGCCTGCTTCTAGACATAGTCATCCAAAACGTGAAGGTTCATTCTTTCCTAGGAACTCACCTAAGAAAACGGAAAGTGCAGAAATGCTTGCTGATAGTAATTCTTGTAGTTCAGTGGTCCTTCCTGTTAAATACGAGACTGCCTCTTCCACTCAACTCGCGACAGCCACAAAACAAGAAACAAAGGTAAAAGATGAAGGAAGCGAAGCTGTTGCTGCAAACAACTGTCGCTGTTCTAGGAGGGAAGATGAACCTGAGCCTGGACTGTTTGAGAATGCAGCTTGTTCCGTTCCTGGCACGGGCACTGATCTGTCTTTAGGAGGTTCTGTGCTTACAGTAAATGAGGCAGGAGGAATGCCAAGTGACAGTGATTCTGACACTGAGGAGCTCAGTCAAACATCCACCTCTACAGATACTAGCAGTGCATCAGAGTATTTTTCTGTTGCTGAAGACAAAATATCTACTAGAAGAAAATCAGAGACATGAAGAGAAAGTAAAATGGGAGGTAACTATACCTAAATAAGCTGGAATAAATGCCACTTAACGCATTAAAAAGTGGGGATACCTGTGATTGTACAGCTCTTGCTCTCCCTGATTCTTGGCAATTGAGGTATCTCTGTGTTAGAAACATAACTGCTTATCAGCAAGTACAATGTGCTGAAGTGACCGCTATAGTACAAACCCAAACTGAAGAAACAACCAAAGATGACAGGTCTTGTTAAAGGCCATGTATGCTGTGTCTTCAAGAATGCAGACCCTCCGAGAGGTGTCATTGGGGTATGGGGGGGGGGGGGGGGGGGGGGGTCCGAGGTGTCCCAGGAAGCAGTATATTGCCTTTCCAGTCCAGCAGCACTTGCACTAGGGTTAAATCAGTAAGAGAGCACAGACAGTAGCGTTCACCTCGCCAGCAGGCCGTGGCAGGGAAAATAAAGGATGTTGAAGGGCATTACTGAAAATTGCTTTGTGTATCTCCCTCTGGCTGTTTTGGTTTTCTGTGATGTATTTAATGTATACTGAAGGTGCAACTTCTAGTGGAATGTCAATAATTCTCTTAGGTTTTTGAATTCGAAACGCATCAGTGTTCTTGTACCTTGCAGAAGGGTGTCAGCTATACTTCTGAAACGCTGCCATTGTGAAAAGTCACTGTCACAACTGATTTTCAGTTTGTTTTGGCAACAGTTTGGGAATCGGTGGACAGAGCTTTAGGAGAATCTAGCTTTTAAAACAAAGAATTCTCCTTTTAACATTTGTGTAACGACAGGAAGAAAGGCAGACAGTGCTGCTCACTGTAAGTAGTAATGATCCAGAACTCACTAATTAGTCTGTGGAACAGGATACGAAGCGAGGATAAAAATACCGTATTTTCTAATTTATTAACCACTTCGTAGTATCCAAGACATAATGGTGCTTTAGCTATTAAAATATGCAGATAGTAGTACTACTTCAGATTAAAACTCCATTTCATTTAGTGTTCACTCTCCAGCAAGAGCTGGTGCCAGATTATAATAAATGAATCCTGCATTAAGTAGATATGTCAACTGGCAAGTACTAGATCAGAATGCAGAATGTTTAATATGCCTTCAGAATTTTTCACTGGCAACTAGATAGCAATCTTAAAAAAAAAAAAAAATCCAAATTATCTTCGTAACTTTGTAAGAGAAATATTACTTAAATTTAAATTTCTGCAATGCTTACCAATATACTTACTGTGACAAAATACTTAGAAATACTATTCTTGGTTTAAAAAATCTTGATCTGATTTTGAGTTGCGTTAAATTCTTGGCCTTAGTTTTTCTGTGGCAGTTCATTCCTCTATTAAATGTGCTGAAAAAGTTTCTATAATTTATAAAACTTATTATAAATGCAAACGCGAAGGGAAGATCAGTAAAGAATGTGGTGAAAATTCTCTTTATTGTTACAGTTCTTTATGTTCATCTGTTAAATCCTACTGTATTTCGGTTTTCTCCTAAAAATTGTCCTGCTTTTATCTAGAGATTCTTGTCATGTTCTTCAGCATGCATGGGAGAAGTGTTAAATAGGTACTAAGTTAAATTACTGAAAGACAGAGGCTGACTGTGATGATGGTGGTAGAGTGTCATGGATGGTGGTTGATCTCACTACAGTGAAAGCAAGAGAAAGGGAACCATTTTAGACAGATAAGGCACCTACAGACCTTGTTGCCAGAAGGTTGTAGAAATTGTTTTTCTGTTACAGTGACATAAAAAAAAAAATCTTAGTAAGTTAAGGTTATTAAGAAACCTTACTGAGTTTCTTTAAATTGCCTATTTTCAATGCATCTTCTGTTCATATCTATTAGTTTCATGAGAGCTTGATCTGCTTTAAAGTTTAACTTCGTCTTTTAGTGAAAAGACACCATTATAGGCTCAAAAAGTGAATAACCAGACTGTGATAGACTGCTTTTGAAAGCAGAAATTGTTGCTGTGTGGGTTCAATACAGCCCTAGGACTGCTTTTGACGCATGGGAAGTTGTTGTCTATGTGCATTATAGCTCAGCATTAAGGTTTTACAGGGGAGATGAATAGTAAGCAGGATGTTTTTACTTACAATATGTCACAGTAAAATTACAGTCCACCCCAGATAGTAAATCAGTAGAATTACCAGTTTTCACAAGTTAATTCCTTGGTCATTTTGACTTAATCACTTGGTCATCTGTCGCTATTGGCTCTTTACTAAAAGCCATAACAGGAGTGAGGTACTTTTTATACGCGTCATTAAAAGTGAAATGCTGACTGCTTTTACTAACGCTTTGAGGCATTACAGTCTTCAGCATATACAAGTAGTACCCTATGACAGACCTAGTAAGTTTGGTTTTCACCCAGGATTTCAGATTTACTGGTGAAGTAACTGAGAACACAACAGGACCAATTTCTCACTTTATTCCTTGGTCAATTAACTGTGTCTTGGCTGGAAAGATTACTCCATTTATATTGAGAAACATGAACATGGAAAGGACTAAATAAGGTCGCTTCTACCCTAGTTGAGGAACAGTTGTGCAAGACTGACTTACATATGGCATGACTTGCCAGAGAGTAAAGAATAATTTGAGTAAATTTTATTTTCCAGGTAGAGTTAAAGCAGTCTGTTCTACCACTGTGTTCTGTTTTTGTTTCCTATGTTGAAAAACTGGGAGGAAAAAAGCTTAAGTCAGTTGATGGTAGCTCAGCAGCAGTACCTTACTACATACAGGCTTTCCCCCCAGTATCTCCTAGCAACGTGCTACATGTAGTTTAATGCTGCCTAAAGAGATTTCAAGTCAAACACTTCATCAGTGATCATCTGATGAACACCAGAAGAAATGGGATTTGGAAATGTCCTTAATGCACACTTTGCTTATTATCAGTAGAGAATGCCTTACATCAACATCTTGGTCATCATTATAAAATCATGTGTGGCAATAGGGACCATTATAAAAGCTTAATTTTCCTACATTATCTAAACATTAATATGTGTGTATATATTTTTTTCAGACTACAAGTAGACTAAAATGTAGTGTTAAACTTAAGAATTTTCCAGAATAGTATGAAAATACTGCTGAAAACTTTGTTCATCCCAGCCAAAAAAAAAAAAAAAACAAACAAAAAAAAAAAAAAAAAAAAAAAAAAAAAAACAACAGCCAAGAAAATAGTTAGGAAATTTATTTTATGAAACTTGATTAATTTGTACTGCAAGGGACTTTTTGACAAGTATGGTGGAGCTGTCCCAGATCTTTCCGATTCAAGGATAGAAGAGGTGAAAAATGAAGCAATTCTACATATGGTGGATTAATAAAATGTTCCAAACTTCATTGTACTGATACAAAACCCTATTATACTAAAAATTTTGTAAACTAGAACTGCAGACTGGTTTAAAAAGCTTTTTATAATGGTTCATGAAGGTACTGCTTCATTACTTAATAGAAACCTTGGAAAATCAGAACAACTTATTTTATGATAATTCCCAAAATAATTGCTGAACATCCTTCACAAACAGACTGAAAGTTTCCAGTGCTGTCCTACTGAGGGGCTAATCTCACCAGCTGTCAGAACTGTGACATTGCTCAGTATATTTCTGAGAGCTCTTAACATATATATCACTGTCTGGGGGAAAAAAAAAAAAAAAAGTGCAATTGAAAGGTATGTGCAATTACCTAGTTTTGTAATCTGTTAGCAACAATTATTTAGTTGACATTGGAGCTGATAAAACATCAATATGTAAAGGTTAATTTTCTTAAGTAAACTTTGTATTACTGATACTGGATATTACTAAAGACTAGGTCTATAACTCAGACCTAGTCGCTTGCTAACTTAAAAGCCAGCTGATCTATGTGGTAAGAGTATTATGTACTGCTGCTTTTTTTCTTTGCTTTTATCCTTCTTTTTTCTTCAGCTAACACACTTCAGTTTCTCTTCATAGATTTCACCCAGTTGTTGAAATGCCAGTAGAACATAATCATCTGGATCATCACAGAGTTCACTCAGTGATGCTCTGGATTAAAAAAAAAAAAAAAAAGAAAAAAGTTTCATTTTAAGTTGCTTTAAAGATGAAATATGTATTGTATATTAAAAAGCACGAGTTTATCATACCCTATAGACTTAATGAGGAGTGAAAAATCCTTGAGTGCGTAGTAAGCATCTCCTTCGTTCAGCCTAAAGAAAGAACATTCAGATGGATATGCACAATAACATACTGTTTTACCTTTAATAAACCCTGCCGTGTAGGTTGGGTAAGGCTGCAGAGAGCGTATGCCACGGCCTCAAACACTGACACTAGTTCCTTAGGATTAGTCTAGAATACAAGCTTAAAATAATAATGCTGTAGAGACACATGATTATATAATTATATTAAATATATAAAAGACTCATGAGTAATGTATGGGAACATAACTTACTGATATTATCTTGGGAAGGTGGTTTCAGGTGTTTGTGTAACCTGTCACAAGCTAAACTGGAACGTTATGCTTCGGATGAATCTGCTGGCTAAATTGAGCAGGAGATAGCGTAAGCTTTCTACAGATGATGAATACCCTAGATTTTACAAAAAGGACCACTGATAACTGGAAAGCAACTCGGTTCCTAGTAATTAAGAAAACATTTAAATGAAAAATACAATCAGTATTGTGTTGAAAATAACAGAATTTTAGAATGGTTGGGGTTGGAAGGGACTTTTAAATGCCATCTAGTCCAAGCCCCTTGCCGTGGGCGGGGACACCTTTCACTAGATAGCTTGATAGAATCAAAGAATGGGATTCTATAATCAGTCTGTTTCCTCATCTCTTGCTAGTGTGGCCTTACTGCCAAACTCTGCTATTGTAACTACAACCGTGCGTGGAATGTGTTGCTCTAATTGTTCTTCCTGGAATCTGCTTTGAAGAGCTTACAAAAAAGCAGATACCGTTACACACTCCCAACAGCACTCTTGGGGAGCAGAGAGAGGTGGTATTTTCTTACGCAGAAGTTACTGGCTATGAGCCTGAAGGAAAACAGAGACACTTGATAAAGTAGTTGGGAGAGGGAGCTTGTGGTTGAGCTTTTTTGAGCTGAGGTTGGGAATAAAACAGATATGTGAATGGCTTCAATAAGAAATAGAAGCTAGAAGATGTATAGAGAGATGGGTTTAATGAACAAGGTTACAGAAGGCCAGTGAGATTCAAAGGTGAAAGTGATAATGATGAGAATAACCAGACATCACATTTAGTAGGTATCTTTTTAACACTAATCATCAATTCATCCCTCAATGTTCTGTCATTATTTGACTAAGGTTTTGACATCTTTCTGCTACTATGTTACAGTTTTCTAGACTGCAGTATTGGCTTCCTCATTTCAGGGATTTCTCTGATCATCTTCATTGTGAAAAAACCCTTGATAAAAAAAAAAAAAAAAAACAAAAAAAAAAAACTTCTGAAGAGCCTGTCAAAATAACCTGGGCCACTGGACTTTAATGTAGTATACGTTTTATTCTCATTAAAACATTTAACTAATCATATTTCACAGCTATTCCACCCCTAAGTTCTGGAGGGACAAGGCTTTAAAAACAGTATGTGCTTATATACCATACTGTAAACAATGCTGCTGTTTCTTAAAAACGGTACTACGTACCAGTTATCAGTTGTCAGTGCAGTCAAGGAACCGTGCTTATAGAAGTCCAGTGCGTACGCATTCAGTGGCTGCCTCCTGCCTTGATTATCATATTTGTTCAAACAAAGCAGGGGGCAGTTTGTGACATTAATTCCAAGGGAACGTAAGACAGCCTAAAAAAAAAAAAAAAATTCTGTTGAAGGGTTACGGTGGTTTTGTTTATATGTCAAACCTACTTCTTTAGGCCCACAGCTGGCGAGTACCACGCTTTTAATTTTGGGCCACTCCAGAAATCTGCACAAGTACATGTAGGCTGTAGAGAGAGGGGTACAACTTACACTGCCAGGGCAGCTCTGGGACATTCTGAGTAATTTAAAGTTTGACTAGGCCACTGGATTTCTCTTTGAGTTTTAGATGAGGATTTTTCCATACACATAGATCATGTATTCAGACTGTCTCACTGATGCCTTGATTGTCTTTATTAATCAGCCTTAAGCGTGGAACAGTTTAAGGATGAAGGTTTAATTTAAAATAGCCAGTTGTAGGAATTTAATTCTTTCTATTACAGAATGATGAGTCATGATCATTCCCTAATGCTACAAAGCACGTGCAGAAGACCCCCAGAGAATGCACGCTGACAGTGAACACGCTGATGTACATTACAATTAAGCTAATTTGTATGCTATCTAATGTAATCACTGAAATCCTAGCTGAGAAGCAAAGATCAATGCAATAACGCATTCTTTTGCTAGGATCCTTCAGACTGATTTTTCAAAAAATAAATGTGAAGAAAACAAACAGAGGATATGGTTTGTATCTGAAATTTTAGAGTAATTTACTTGTCTCATATTCAAAAGGAACAGAGGCCTTGCTAGAAAGCAAACTATTTACAGACTTTTTTTCCTACATCCATCTATTCTGTGCTGCTTACGCTGTGATAACGTGGTGCCACTTCGTGATGATTTTTTTTGACCTTTCAAATTGTTTCTCCTAAATCGTGACACTTGAGCATAGTGCCATCGTATTACACAGAGGCAAGAAGATTGTAATAAAAGCATATTTTTATTGACCTCTAATAAAATTCTGCCCCCCAATGAAAAAGTAACTTACTTTATTAACGACCTCCCCATGAAATAGATCCTTATCAACCAGTCCAGATAAACATGCAAAAGGTGAGATGGCAGATACGCTTTTGGTGTTGTCCATCAAATGCGATGCTAGCTCAGAGCCATGCCAATTCTTCGATGCAAATTCTAGACAAGAAGTTTCAAATAGAACGTCAGCCATGCAGGCACAAGCTCCCTTTCAGCAATCCTTTTTAAAAGAGAAATCTTCAGTTCTGTAGATAACGATAGGAAATAGTGCTAATCTTCTAAAGTTCAATCCAATTGATGAGAGTATATAAGAGTGAGCTTTCTAGTGATGAGAATAATTTCAGTTCCCTCCTCGCAACTTAAGCCTTTCTCCTTGATTCATCCGTCGCCAAAACTGCTAACAGCATGAAGTTGTGCTGAAAACAAAGGGTGTGTTACTCTTCTTGTTCTATCTTCATCTTTTATCCTGTCCTACGTTGAAGAAAAATAGGGATTTTCAACTTGTATTCACAGGTCTTAATAGCTAGACATCTAATAATTTCTATTGCTATCCTCTGGACTCCCAGACAAAATTTTTCTTGAAGTGTGGAGCTCTAAAGAATTAATATTCTAATTGAGGCCCTGCTAGAGCTTTAGTATGTGAAGGTTGTCAGGTAGAAGCGCTCTGCTTTGTGCAACCCAGTATGAATTTCTGTTCTTACAACATCAGGGCATTTCAGTTGGCTTATAGTCCGAGTGTGACTTCAATCACTGTTTGTATAAGACCTATCTAGTTATTTCTAAATATATTTGTACTTTTGATTTTCCTTTTCTAAATAGAAATTTACTGTTCCTTTCCAAATTATCAACGATACCATCAATCCTTACACTGCCACATTTTCTGCTTTGTGTTAAGTATGCTGTAGTTACACTGTTTATGGCATTCATAAAAAAATCTGAGCAGTTTGCAATAGTTTTTTTTTTTTTTTTTTTTGCATCCTCACCCCAAGTTATGGTAAGGACAAAAGTCTCTGCCACCTCTTGAACTATAGGACATGCTTTGATCTTCTTTTTCTGTAAATCTAATGGAAAGTATTTCATTCAAAGTGAAACAGCTTTAGCAAAAACGGGAGAATAAAACCATATTACACCTTCCATTTAAACAAGAAACTTTACCATTCAAATATAAGAGAAATTCAATTTTCACAGCTCACATCCTGGGTAAAAGCAGCATTAGTGACACTAACATATATAAAGGAATATATATCATGAAAATGCCAGGCAGCTCATGCATTGGTCTTCTAATTTGGAATTCCATCATTCTGTGATTTACAGCTCTTAATTTCCTACATTTTTCAGGTAACGTATCGAGGTGTGGGGTCCCTCCATTGTCAAAATAAGCAATCTTACACTGAATATAAAAAAATAGGGTTTCACTATCGTGTTGCTAATGTCGTACTATAATGCAGCACTTCCCAGGACTCTGTGCTGGAAATGGAAAACTGTTTTTTACCATTTCAAGCCATACATAGTACTCAATCTTGTTTTGCATTCGCCTTCCCTGTTTATCTCCCTCAGTGCCTCACCTTTGTATTAAGTTGATGTCCACTTCACACAAAACTGTCTATGATTCAGCTATCACCACACTTGAAACTCCAAGTAGATGCTAAGGTATGGTAGCTTGTAACGTGATTTTTTTTTTTTTTTTCATTTGTACACAGCAGAGACTAAAAAAATCTCTGTACCAGTATAGGAAGAATGGATTAATAAATGCAGTTATGTGCTACAAATAAAGTGCTTCCTTACTGCAAAAATAGTATTTTTGAAGGCATGTTATTTTTTGAGGAGCTAGGCAATGAGATAGCGGGATATTACATTGCTTTTATATCTCTCTTCCATGAACATGAGATTATGTAGTAGTTAAACATTTTTCACCCGGTGGCAATCCATATTGCT